CGTCGCGCGCTCCGGGTCTCAGCCGGGAGGTGTCACCAGATCTCGGCCCCGAGCGCCCCAGGCCCGCGAGCGTCGCTGGCTGCACTTGAGGGTTCCGGTGTCCGGTCCGCGCGCGTCGGTAGCATCCGCACTCGAGGGGTGCGTTTGGGGACTCCAGAGCCCCCAAACCGGTCAGCACGGGAATCCGAGGATGTGTTCGCGGGTCTATGCGTCTGGGTGGTCCCGTCTCTGTCAGTGGGTCCGTCGGGTCCTCTCCTTTATGTGTCTGTGTGTGTCTGCGCATCCACGTGGCTGGGTGTGTTGTGTTACGTGTGTGTTAGAGCATTGTGAGGCTCTGGGACAGTGTGTGTCTTTGGGTAACTGGGCGGCTGTGCCGTGCGTCCTTGTGCTGTGAATGGTACTGTGAAGCCGTGGCTGCCTGCGTGTCCTCGGGGGCTCCATGTCCCTGGGCGACCGTGTGGGGTGTCCCCGTGTCAGTGTGTGGCGCGGTTAGGGGTTTGCCAGTTGGTGGGGGATGGTGTCGTGTGATGCTTCCCAGGGGACATTAGGTGTCTCCGTGTGACTGGCTCTGAGTGACTGTCTTGAGGATGGGTCTACACTCTCCCCCTCCCCAGTTCCTTTTTTTCTTGCGACAAGGCTACTGGGTTGGGGACGGGTGCTTCCTCTACCTCGCCAAAACTCGGACCCCTCATCTCACCTCCCACACGGTCCCCTCACTTCTCCCTGTGTCGGGTCCCTAATGGGCCCGGCCCGGGGTGGTCCCGGCTTGAGGTTCAGGCGCGAGGTTGCACCGCGACACGATCTCTCTGTGACTGCGAAGTCTCCCGTCGGGGGCTGCGCGTGCGCGGGGACCTGCCCCGGAGGGGGCGGGGTGGCGGGGTCCCCACACCTCTGCTGCGGAGGAGGACCTGAGGGTGGTGTGGTGACAGAAGCCCAGGGGCTGGGTCCGACCCAAGAGGGTGGCCATGGAGACCCCCTCAGTCCCCAGACTGGGAGCTGTCCTCCCAGCACTTGTCAGGGACCAGGCCACACGAGGGCGGGGACCCACAAAGCGCTGTTTTCTGCCCTCCAGGGGAACCCCCGCTGCGCCCCACCCCCCACCCCGGGCCTTTATAGAATTGTCTATATGTGAAAGCCCAAAGCCAGTCCAAATCTCTGCTTTTTACTTGAAACCTGCATCCCATCCTGGGCGGCTGTTTGGGAAGAGGAGAAGGGGTTCCACCTTGTTCACAGGGGGACATAGGCAGCGCTCAGGGTCATATGCTCCCATCGGCTCCCCCACCCTCAGGCCCCTTCGTTCAGTCCTCACCCTGCTCTACCTACCCTGGCCGCAGGTGCTCACACACAGCCCCCTGGCCACACACACCTCCAATCCCACTGGTTGCCAGGTGCCCAAGGGGACGCATTCGTGTTTGCACCTACATAAGCATACACCCAGGACACACCCTCATGGGGCACCCAGTCACAGCCACATATGCACATCGTGCACACACACAGGTACACACGCAAGCACACATCGACCCGCACAGACATACGCACAGACAAAAATGCACACTCAGACAGGCACCTGCGTTTGTGGGAGGCAGAGGACCCCAGCTGTGGGGGGCGTGGATGGGGACTGTCAGGAGGGAGGGCCAAGGATGTGGTGTGCCGTGTGTCATTGTGTGAGCACGCAGCATGTACACGTGTACCTGTGTGACTACTGGGAGGCGTTCTGTTGTGGTGTGTGTGCTTGTGAGCATGTGCTGTGTTTGGGTGTGAGTGTGTGGTTATGGATGAGTGTACGTGTGTTGTATGTGGGGTTGCGTGTGCACTTATGTGGGTCCGTGTGTCTGTGTGTGGGTCTGTATGTGTGTGGGGCTGTCTTCACGTGAATCTCTATGTCACTGTATGTGTGTCCATGTGTGACTGTGTGCGTTTGTATGTGTCATGTTGGATCTGCGTGTCTGTATCTGATCTGCGTACATGAAAATCTGCATGTGTAGTATGTTGTGTGAGTTTATGTGTCTCTGTGGTGTGTGTGTGTGTCTGTGCCAGTTCGGGTGTCCTGTCCCACCTTTGCTTCTCAGGGCCTAGGACCTGAACACCCCCTTCCAGAGCCTCAGTTTCTCATCTAAAAAGTGGGGTTACACAGGACCCTCCAGAGGGCTGAGGGGTGTGGCAGCTGTGGCTTTACCATGAGGGCTCCTGTCATCCCTGCCTGAGCTGCTCTGTGAATTCCAGTCACTTTTTCAAAGTTTACATCTTAATTACACAAGCCATTCATGAATATCTAAAGAGGGCAAAAATAAAAAACAGAACCTTCCTCATAACCCATGGGACCCCAGTACAGGGGAGGCCCAGTTGTCATCCAGCTTTGTCTGAGCGATTGCCGGTAGAACAGACACATTCTTGTAAAGGAAATCTGAATATTTTTAAAAGGATACCTGTACATTCTTTTGAAGGATACATGTATATTCTTATAATGAATATAAGGATATATTGTATAAGAATATATAATATATGCAAGTATATAATATATCATATACTCTTGTAATGTAAATTTTTCGTAAGAATACATGTATATTCTTCTAAAGGATGCCTGCATGTTCTTATAATGGACACGTGTATATTATTTTTTAAAATCCCAAATGAGATCTTGAGTCATCTGGCTGAGTCTATAGCAGGTGTTCTCAAATGGGGTGGTTCTGCCCCCAGAGGGGACACTGGGCGATGTCTGGGGACATTCGTGGTTGTCATGACTAGGGTGCCCATGGCATCGAGTGGGAGGCGGAATGTGGTCCAGACCTCACTCTTCCCAGTATGGCTCTTGGAGCCGTCTCCGTGGGGGAGCCCCTTGTTCTTTTATGGAGCTGCGTAGTGTTCCAGCCTGTGCCCACGCCGCCGATGGCTCGCACAGATGGACGTGGCGGCTGGCTCCGAGTTGTTGGCGTTGGTGGTGTAGGGTGGCAGTCAACACTTCTGTGCATCTGTACCTGGGATGGTGACGGGGAAGCCTGAGAGCGATTTCCAGGGGGTAATGCGCTTTGAGTTTTTGACAAGGGAGCTAAACTGGGCTCCAAAGCGCAGGGAGCCAACCATGCACCCCTCCTGGCCCTCACACACAGGTCCAGACCCACCAGTTGCTTTGGTGAGAAAACGCTGCATTCAGGCCACAGCCTGGGGGATAGGAACTAGCACTGCCCCACTTCACAGAGGGGGAAGCTGAGGCACAGGGAGACTCGGCTCTGCCTGGAGGAGATGAGACCCAGGCTGCAACCCTATACCGCAGCTGGCTTGCTGTGGACCTACTGTGTGCTCCACAGAGGCCTTTCCTGCTTGGAAATTTTATAAATACACCCATATATATTGCTGCTGGGGAACTCGCAGAAGGTTCCACCGTTCGCTTCGACCGATAACAGTGACGTGGCCCTCACACCCGTGATCTCAAGGGCTCCGACCTCCCCAACCTTCCGAGATGCGTCCTGCTGTTACCTTTAAACAGATGCGGAGCTGAGGTTCCCAGAGGGGCAGGCTGTGGTCCCCACACTTTACCTAGGAAAGGAACCGGGACTGCCGCGCAGATGGGGGTGCACGTGGCGGGGCAGGCTGAGGGGGATGCTCAGAAATCCACTTTAAGTTTCAAATGTCTGTGAATTGGGGATTCTGCCCTCACTGTGTTCACGGCATTTTTAAATAATAAAAGATTACTTTACTACGTTATGTTGGTATTTGGGTTCCTAGACACCGGCCTCCCTCCCCCGTTCACCCTGGGGTTTGAAATGCCCACCACAGCTGCACAATGGGAGTTTTTAAAAACATTTATGAAGGGCTCACAATGCGCTAAGCGGCCGTTTGAATAACTGTCAGCCACAAGCGGCGAGGAGCACAAGGGGACCTGGGAGTACGTGCTGTGTATGAATCCTGCTCCCTCCTGGTCCGGCCCTGGGACTCTGGGCGAGAAGCCCCCTTCTCCGGGCCTCAGTTTCCTCCCCTGTAACACAGGGGGATATCGGGGTTGCTGGCATCTCCCACGCCCCTGCCTTAAGATGGTAAGAGGGTGAGTCAGGCTTCCTAAGAAGGTCTCCGTGCACATTTGACAGAGAGTCGAGGCTCTGCTAAGTGACATTATCCTTATGCCGGCTGACCCCACGTGTGGGCATTTTACAGAGCAGGATGCCAAGAGCTGGACGGAAGGAAGGGTCCAGGTCACCCTAGCCTTTGAGGTGGGAAGGAGATAGTCACCCTGCCAGGTGCCCTGGGGGCTCACACTGGGGGCGGGCAGGTCTGTGCTTAGTTATTCCGGAGAGGGAATGAAGGAGATTGAGGGACGTGCGCCCTGGGGACAAATGGCCTGGTTCCAAGCCATTCCATGCGCCTCAGTTTCCGGGTCCTTGAAATGGGCACACAGCTGAGGGGGCTGGGAAGAACATGCCACTTGGGAGGAGGCTGGGAGGTTTTATCTGGCCCGCCTGAGGTTACGTCCGGACATAACCTGGGGTGCTGAGGAGACATATGGGGGAGCCCAAAGCCATTCTGAGCTCCACTTTGGCAAGGAGGAAAGCAATCTTGGAGGCTCCTGGGTTAGCGGGGTCCCTCTGGCCAAGGGGCGCAGTTGTAGCCAATCCCCTCTGCCTAGGCACTGCAGCCCCTGTCTGGAGCTGGGGTGGGGAGCGCAGGGGCAGACGGTGCGGGGCCTCTCTCCTGCCCTGCACCCTGGGATGTACATCTTTAAGGCGAAAGCCGCGCGCGCTCGCGCCGGGCCTCTGCACACGTCACTGCTTCATTCTTTCCCTCCCCCCCCCCACCCCTTGGCTCTTTTCTCCAACTTCCCGGCCAGCTTGGGGCGGTTGCGGGGGGCGGGGGGGTCTTAAAAATCCACCTCCAGCCCCTAAACGTCCAGCAACAGTGCAGCGCCCCCTGCCCACTCCTCCCTTGACTGGGGCCGATGGTCCTGGGGGACCCTCTGCGGTTGGGGCGCACGAGGCCGCGGGCACTTATCCTTTGCGCCGGAGCGGCTCGGAATTCGTACAGGCAATAATGGGGTTCGTGAGGCGTGGGGGACAGCGGCTCTCCTTCCCAGCTCGCGCTCTTTTTTTCCCTCGTTTCTTTGAAAGTTGGATGTTGAGAAGTGGGAGGTTCGGGTGGGAGGGGAGGAGAGAGGGAGGAGAGACAGAGACACAGAGACGGAGGAGGGGAGCGGGAGAGAGAAGGGGGGCACAGGAAAAGAAGAGAGAGAGAAAGAGAGAGAGAGGAGAGAGGGGAGAGAGGAGAGAGAGACGGAGGGAGGCGCAGGAGAGAGGGAGGGAGAGAGGGCGGGAGGAGGC